TGTGCCCTGTAAGTCAGAATCACTGAAGGCCCAGGCTTGTGGTTGGCATCTGAAGTGGGGACAGAGCCCTTAACTTGTGGGTTCTGATACTAACTCCAGGTAGACGAAGTTAAAATTGTATTAAAGTGTAAGACACCCAGCTGCTGTTTGAAGATTTGGAGAAATGCTTGGTGGAGAAAACAGCCATACCTCTTGTGCCAGAAGTGTTGTGTGAGTATAGAGAAAGTATGTTTGCCAGGCAGGTCAGCAGACAAATCCATCCTCCAAGAGATATTTATCTAAACTAAAATTGATTAATAACATTAAAACCATGATGTGTTCCAACCATAAAGAAGAGTGCTACCGAGCACAAGTCAGATAGTACACTATTTGCCACATTTAAAATGCAAAGCAGAAAACTGTTCCTATATCATGATTGCAAATGTTTAAGAATATGTAAACCTAGGTAAAGGAATAGACTTAAATATACTTGGGAAAACAGTAATGGAGAGATTGTATTTAATTGTATCTTTTTTTCTTAAAATTAAAAGAAAAATTATGTTATAGTGTGCTTACGATGTTTAAAAAATAGAAAGTTAAATTAATGTTATTTCTAATTTGTCAAAAATGGAAAATATCAATAGGCCAAATCCCTATTAAGTTCAAAGTTATGTTAATAATGGAGACAAAGGTTACAGAAAAATGTATTTGGTCCACAAAGTACAAGATTTTAGCCTCAAAGTCAAACTCAAAAGTGCTAGGTTATAAACTGGTAAGAGACCGAGCATGGTAGTTCACGTCTAAAATACCTGCACTTTAGGAGGTGGAGGCTGGAGGACCAGTTGAGCCTGGGTAACATAGCAAGATCCTATCTCCACAAAGAATAAAAAAATTAGCTGCTGTGGTGGCATGCGCCTGTAGTCCCAGCTACTCGGGAGGATTGTCAGGTCCCCAGAGGTTGAAGCCGTGGTGAGCCATATTCCTGCCAATGCACTCCAGGCTGGCAACAGAGTGAGACCCCAACCCAAAATATATAAATAAACTAACTAGTAAGAGGCCAAGTATTAACCTTATCACCTGACTGTGGTTTTAGCACAGGGTGGAGACTGGAGGCTGGAGAGGCCATAGCTGGAAAAGGGGGCTAGAATGAGACCAGACCGCTCTGGGGGGGTCACAAGGGAACAGAGCCAGAAGCAGTGTCCTCGTGGCCATGGATGAAGCCACAGGTAGACAGATAAAGGCATGAACAGGAGAAGAAGGGAAAAGACGGAGAACAAGGCAGAGGGGAGGGAACTTGGGAGCCGAGGAGGAAGGATGGAAGCAGGACCCTGGAGTCACTCTGCAGTGTCCACTGGTAACCAGCACCATGGAAACAAAAGGCTGCTTTCCAAAAGGAAAATGACCTTAGAAAAAAAACAAAAACAACAACAACAAAAAAACAGCCCTAGTTGCCCAAGAGTGTGGGAGGTGAAGAAATTACACAATACACCTGCCCTAGGGACCTCCAACGCTTCTCCTCCACTGAGGTGAGTGGATTGCCCGAGCCCGCAGGTTCAAGACCTGCCTGGGCAACTTGGCGAGCCCTCATCTCTACAATAAATTAAAAAAAAAAATTAGCCGGGTGTGGTAGCGCGCACCTGTAGTTCCAGCTACTTGGAAAGCCGAGGCAGAAGGATCGCCAGAGCCCAGCAGGTCGAGGCTGCGGTGGCCGGGAACAGCCCCTGCACTCCAGTCTGGGCGACAGAGTGAGACTCCAACTCAAAAAAAAAAAAAAAAAAGAGGAGGGGCCGCTGCAGGCACCATCCTACCACTCCAGGCAAGTTTCTTATCCTCTGGACCTCTGTTTCCTAATCTGCAAAACAGGATAATAACTGGGCCTCTCTCATAAGGTAGTTTTGAGAATTCAATGAGTTAACGCTTAAGGGATTCCGTGAGCCACCCCAGCTGTATACTTTCCCTCTTTGAAAGGAGTCAGTTCATCAGTCCTCCAACAGTACAGCAACTGGTTAAGAGAACCCGTCTATGGAATCAACACGAGTTCAAATCCCAGTTCTGCCACTTGCCCATGGTGGACACTGACAAGTTAGTTATGCATGGTGAGTCTCAGTTTCTCAACTGTAAAATTGGAATAAAGTAAGTCCCTGGATGACCCACAGAGTAAGCCCAGCATATGGACAACACCCATGGGTGTTGCAAAGTCTATACATGAGAACTTTGGCTGAAGCCAAGTTCTTACAGTGGAACTTATTTCAATTGACTCACCTATCAGTCACTCACCTGCGATCAGGTGAGTGCTCAACTGCTAAGTTGCTCTAGCTACTAGGGGTCCAGGTCCAATGTCCTGCAAGGTCCCCAAAGCCACAAAGGCAGCCTGGGATATGAAGGCACAAAGCAATGAGGGGCCGTCCACACCTCACTCCGTGTACTTCCAGAATGGCTGAATCTTCCATGCTAAGAACATACTTGTGCACTTCTTGGGTAAGTTAAAAAGCACTTAAAAAAATTTTTTTTTTGAGTCAGGGTCTGACTCTGTTGTCCAGGTTGAAGTGTAGTGGGACAATCAAGGTTCACTGCAGCCTCGACCTCCTAGGCTCAGACAATCTTTCCGCCTCAGCCTCCCGAGTAGCTGGGACTACATGTGTGCACTACTACTCCAGACTAATTTTTTGCCTTTTTTTTTTTTTGTAGCAATGAGATCTCACTACATTGCCTAAGCTGATCTCAAGCTATCCTCCTGCCTTGGTCTCGTAAAGTTCAGGGATTATAGTAATCCAGCCAAAATGCACTTTTTTAATGTAAAAGAAACATGCATGATTGAGTGCTCAAGAATAGTATCACCAGGCAACCCCTTTGGGTCCCCTTCCACTGTGGGAGACTTTCTGTTCTCTCAATAAATCCTGCTTTAAAAAAAAAAAGAATAGTATCACCAAATATTGTCCCCTGAACAAAGACTTCTGGAAGACAGAGATCAAAATCCAAGTGTTCTTGTCTTTTGTTTTTTGAGTCAGTCACCCAGGCTGGAGTGCAATGACATGCTCAAGGCCACTGTAGCCTTAACCTGCTGGGCTCAGGCGATCCTCCTGCCTCAGCCTTCCAAGTAGCTGGAACTATAGGTGCTGGAACTATGGGTGCTGCCATGCTCAGCTAATTTTTTTATTTATTGTGGAGAGAAGGTCTTGCCAAGTTGCCCAGGCTGGTCTCAAACCTCTGGGATCAAGCAGTCCTCTGGCTTCCTCTTCCCAAAGTGTTGGGAGAGACTGTACCCAGCCTTTTCTTGTTTTAAACACCATCCTTAATACGTTTAGTTATCTGATTTTTTTTTTTTTGAGTTAGAGTCTCACTCTGTTTCCCAGCCTGGAGTGCTGGGCTCCAGCGATCCTTCAGCCTCAGCCTTCCAAGTAGCCAGAACTACAGGTGCATGCTACCACATCCAGCTATTTTTTTTTTTTAATTGTAGAGAGGAGGTCTCGCCAAGTTGCCCAGGCTAGTCTTGAACCTGCGGGCTCAGGCAATCCACTCACCTCGGCCTCCCAAAGTACTGGGATTACAGGCTGAGCCACCAAGCCTGGCCTGGTTATCTGATTTTGCAGACTTTAGAAGTTGAAAGCTGCACATCAGAAGAGGGGAGAGGCAACATCTGTGGCTAAAGGGATGTTGCATCTGGAACCAGAAAGACAGAGCTGGGTTGCTCACTAACCACGTGAATTTAACCACCTGGAGCCTTCCTTTCTTCATCTGTTAAATGAGTACACTAGAACCAACTTTATAGGGGTGATTTCAGGATTAAATGAGGCAACACCTACATCTGTGCCAAATACGTAAAGCACATTCTAAAAACAGCAATGCAAATTACACTGAGCCACATGAAACTACTGTTTCTCCAAATCCAAAACCAGTTGAATAGAGTCAAACAAACTGACCAACAGCCTGGCCAGGAGGTGCTTTTGCTGGGAGTTGGGGGGGGCACTTTGGAAGAGCTGAGGACAGAAGATCGGGGATCTAAGATGGGTACAGAGGTATGTAGCTTTTAGACGAATGGCCCAGCTATATCGGTGCACACTGCTTGAGTCAACGCTGACTAGAACTCAAAGCCCAGGGGAAAGGTTTTCTTTTAAACTGTCATGAGAACTCAAAGTACAGAATACACAGCTAATGAACATGGGCTCAAGGAGTCAACACCTTAAAAATTACTGAGAGGCAAGGTGTCCCACCCAGGTAATAACCAGTGTTCAGAGCAGTGACCCTGACTGATGTAGTCAAGATTAAATGAATCTCCCGTTTAAGAGGAGCATTTTGAATATATTTCAGAGGGGAAAAAATACTTAATTCCACAAAAATTAAGCTTCTTAAAAGTTTTAACACTTGAGAATAAATAATGCAGAGTAGACAAATCCATAAAGACAGAAAACAGAGTAGTGGCTTCCAGGAGACGGGGGAGGAGGGAACAGGGCGTGACTGATCAGTGGGTACATGCATCTGTTTGGGATAATGGAAAGTTCTGGAACTGGATAGTGGTGATGGTTGTGCAACATTGTGGATATACTGAATGCCACCAATGTGAACACTTTAAAGTGGTTACAGTAGGAAACTTTATGTTGTGTGTATTTTATAATTTTTTAAGTACAAGAAAAGGAATCAGACAATATTTGAGTGCTTAATATACCAAGCACATTATGTGTTACGTACTAACAATGCTGTGAGGTAAATATTATTATTACTCTCATTTTACAGAAGGAACTATCTCATGAAAAGAGGCAATATGACCTTCCTCAAATCCCAGAGAGCCAGTGAGCGATGAGGCCAGGATTTGAACACAAGCTTTCAGAGCTCCAGGGCTAAGTGTCTGCAACATTAACATCAACTGATACTTCAGAAACTTACTTATGTAAAACTCTCATGGTTAGATAATGCTGGAAGCTGAGGTGTTAGGGAGCTTAGGGAAAATTGACAAGAGAGTCTATATGCAGGTTTTGAATAAAACATAAATATTGAATTATTCTGGAACACCATCATACTCATACCTTCATTTTTCATGATGTAGTGGACAATCTGCCCAACAGTGTCACTATTTTCATTTATACTGTCGTTCAATTCTGAAAGAGAAAAAGAACAAGGAAGAATGGATTACACTGGTCACTGGCAACAAGACATTCTGTCTTAGAGCCCAAGACCTCACTGAATAGTTTCCAGAAACCTCAGGTGACCAGCCAGGCGCGGTGGCTCACACTTGTAATCCCAGCACTTTGAGAGGCTGAGGCAAGAGGCTTGCCTGAGCCCACGGGTTCGAGACCAGCCTGGGCAACATGGTGAGAACTCTTCTCCACAATAAATAAAAAAAATTAGCTGGGCATGGTGGTATACACATGTGGAAGTCTGAGGTGAGAGGATCACCAAAGCCCAGCAGGTCGAGGCTGCAGTGGCTGTGAGCATGCCACTGCATTCTAGCCCAGGCAACAGAGTGAGACTCCTACTCAAAAAAAAAAAAAAAAAAAAAACTTCAGGTGACCATCCATGGTGCTAAGATTCTAGGCTTTCTACCTTCAGCCTCAAACGTCCTAACCCATAACATGTTGAATATAAAAAGAAAGTCTCAGATCTGTCCATCAACTCTTCTCAAGTTCATATACCCACTCACTTTCCATGAAAACACCCTGGAAATACATCTGTACCAGTTCTTAATACTACTTTTATTTTAATCTTTTGTAGAGACAGAGTCTCACTATGCTGCCCAGGCTGGTCTTGAACTCCTGGCCTCAAGTAATCTTTCTATAGCAGCCTCCAGAGGTTCTGGGATTCCTAGCATCCTCACTACTATTATTTCTTTCTCATCTTTTTCTTGAACCCTTTAGGGGAAATGGGAAGAAGAAAGCTAATTTTTGTAATTAAAAAAAAAAAATTCTCCTTGGATTTTATTTTTCATGCAGACTTGCTAAAAAATTTGGAGTATTAAAATATTTTTAAAATTGGATAATTATTCATCCATGCTTATACTATCCTGTCCTTATAAATACACTGCCCAATTAACTAAATTTTGTCCTTAGTTATTTGTCCACAAACTCAATTTGGGGACTCTGCACCAGAAGTAAATGTGATGGCTTGCAGGGGGCAGGGTAGAAAGGCAATCCTGTACTCTGAAACAAATCTGTAAAATTTGTTTCAGTAAGACCAGAAGGAAACACTCCATCCTAGTACACAGAGAGCAAATCAAGGTATGCTGTGACCTACCCATGTCCCTGGAAAAGTATCTTCTCCATCCAAAGGTCACTACCCTCCTACGTGGATACGCATGTTGGTTGGACAGCACTGACGCTGCTGCTAACCCAACCGACAGAGCATCTCAGAAGGAGGAGAGGAGGAGGCTCCATGTTCTGTTGACAAACACTCAGCTTTGGTTTGCTCATAAGCTTACACATGACTCATCAAGCAGCCGTGTTCTCTCCCAGCCTCAAAGGTCAGTGGGGTGGGAAAAACCAACAGTCCAGCAAGCTGGCAGGGAAGGAGGCACCTCCCCACACCCGGCCCTGTGGGTTTGCTCAGAGGGTGACCTACTGCAAATGTCACCTTTCTGCAAAAACTGCCCTTAGAGGGACCGAAAGGGATAGGGAGAGTCATCCACTACCTCTCGAGGCCCAAGTCAGGAGGCTTCCTTAAAGGATGGCTGAAAAGAAACACCAGTGGAGAAAACAGGATTTCATCGCTCAGGTTTGTTCAATTTTGTCCAAACACTCCCCAATAACGCCATGTCAGGAAGAAAGGGCGAGGCTCCTGAAGTTCACACCAAGATGCCAGTTCATTCTCCTTCTACTGCACTGCTCATACAATCATTTAATTAAGAAACAGAAATTCCAATCTCAAAGATTTAAGATCAAACTCCCCTAGTAAAAGCAATACCACAAAAATGGTGAGATCTGTTTAATTTTTTCTTCATTCTTTTCAGAATTGGGTTCAATAATAAGGATTAATATTTACTGAGTGGTCACATGGGCCAAACACTAAGTGCATCTTTCCTCCAGATTTCTCAAAAACCCTACAGTAGGACAGTAGGGATTACTGTCCTCGCCTAAATTAATTAAAATGTACACTGAATAAAATTAAATTAAAATAATTTTAAATTAGATTATACAAGGAGGGAATCAAAAAAATCCAGAATTTATTTAGAAAAACTGTGTATTTATTCTTACATGTTTAAGCTTCAGTCACCTTCAGAGTACTCTTCATTTGATGCAATACACCTATTGAGACTCTTTTTCCACTGCACAAAACAGTTTTTGAACTCTTCCATTTTGATGCCATTTAGTGCTGCTGCTTTTTTGTTTCACCTCTTCCATATCGGCAAAACATTTCCCTTTGAGGACTTTTTTACTCCAGGGAAACGAAACAGTCACTCAGGGCAAGACTGAATGAATAAGGAGGATGGGACATGAGGGTCATGCTGGTTTTGCTCAAAAACTGCTGAACATTCAGCATGGTGTGAGCAGGTGCACTGGTAAATCATCCATTATGGAATGGGCAACCGCATTGAAAGAATCTCCAAAAAATTCACTAAAGCTGGGCTCGGTGGCTCAGCCTGTAATCCCGCGCCTTTCGGAGGCTGAGGTGAGTGGATTGCCTGAGCCCGCGGGTTCGAGACCCGCCTAGACACGCAAGACCTCATCTCTACAATAAATCAAAAAATTAGCCGGGCATGGTAGTGCGCGCCTGAAGTTCCAGCTACGTGGAAGGCTGAGGCGGAAGGATTGTCGGAGCCCAGCAGGTCGAGGCTGCGGTGGCCAGGAGCGGCCACTGCACTCCAGTCTGGGCGACAGAGTGAGACTCCAACTCAAAAAATAAAAAAATAAAAATTCACTAAAGCAGAACTCAGCCTCTCACAACAACGCTAGCTTGTACACAGATGCCAGTGGGTTCCCAGAACACTTAACTAGCAGGGGAAGCCTGCACCATAAGAGGCTGATACTCCAAAAGATAATTCCAGGTTTTTTGGGGTTTCCCCCTCATACATAGCAGAGATTCAGAGCATGCACAACTTGTCCAAGGCCACAGGGCAAGTAAGGCCAAATGACCTGACAGGTATTCAGTAAATGAAAGCAAGGTTGTAAACTCTAGGGTGTTTACTGTGCAATCTACAATACACTGCACCGCACCACCTGCCATTAAAATGGCACTTTTTACCTTATAGAGATGGAAAGTGCCTATCACTGTGGTTTTTTTTAATTCCTTTGTTTTAATGAGATGGGGATCTTGCTATGTTGCCCAGGCAGGTCTCAAAATCCTAGCCTTAAGCAATCTTCCTACCTCAGCCTTCCAAAGTGATGAGATTACAGACATGAGCCAGTGTGCCTGGCCCTGGTTTCTATGCAAAACTTCCTGCTCCCTCCCCCCAAAGTAAAAGGAATGCAGACAATTTACCTATCTTTTCAACCTTCTCCTCTTCGACATCTTGCTCAGCTTCTGTTGTACAGCGATAGCCTTTCTTCTTAAGCAGGTGGCAGATGAGGACGCCAAAGAGACCCATGATGAAGAACACGGGGACAAGGGCATACGCGATATATTCTGGGTGCCCATTGTTGGTGGCAGGTGACGGGGTGGTCTCTGTTCTGGAGTGCAATGTACGGCTGCCCTCATTGTCTATAAAAAGAAACACGCAGGGCTGCATGAGACAGTCTGTTGAGGACAAGAGAAACCTAATGGCCTCTGGGAAACATTCACGGCCAGCATCTGCTTCTAGAACCACTGGTGGGTCTGGTAGCACAGACACAAAGGATGACAGCCCAGGCTTGGGCTCAAAGAGTCTGAAGTCACCTCCTGTCCTAGCTTCTCAAGAATTGGATCCCACCCTGGGTTATTTTTTTTTTTTTAACCTCTGGAAGTCAGCTGCTGCTTCTCCATCTGTGATAGTAACCACACGGTGTGGAATGAATGTGCGGGGTCTCAGCAACGTGTCCAGCACAAAATAAACACATAAATGTTAGGTGGGATCAGAGCATAGAACTTAGTGGTTAAGGGCATGAGTTCAGGAGACTTGGGTTTGATTCTCACCTCCCCCACTTAGCAGCTGGGTGACAATGGACCAATACTCAACATACCAATGTCTCAGTTTCTCATGTGATGAACATACTGATAACACCTACCCACCCTTCTAGGGTTCCGATGATGAAATAAATTATTGCATGGAAGACACTAAGAACCATTTCTGCAACACAGCAAATGCTCACCTACACGTCAGGCACCATTCTAGACACTCGTGACAAGCGCATCACACTGAGCAAGACAGAGATCCTTGTCCTCATGGAGGTTACGTTCTAGAAGGAGTTAGTGAACTAACAGATCTAGAGTATGAAGAAGAGGGAAAAATCAGAGACAGCATCAAGATCTTAGCCCAGAGTGCAAACAGAAAAATGAAAATGTGCATTTGTTTATCTGTTCACTGATCCAAATAAACATGGGCTGCACGCCTGTTATGGCCAAGCACGCTGGGAGCTGGGTAGAGTGAGCGATGAACAACATAACGCAGACCCTGCCATCTTGGGGCCTGTATGGCAGCGTCAGGGACGGCCATTAAACAGTCAACACACAGGCAGATCACAACAGGCCATAAGAAATGCCATGGGAGGAATCCACAGGGCACCAGGAGAGAACATGAAAACACCTACATAAAATCACCTCCATGTCCTGACACTCCTGGGAGAGGGGCAAGGCTGATCAAAATATTCCTTATTTTTTTTTTAATTTTTTGAGTCAGGGTCTCATCCTGTCACCCAGGCTGGAGTGTTGTGGCATGATCATAGCTCACTGCATCCTTGACCTCCTGGGCTCAGGTGATCCTTCCTCCTCAGCCTCCTGAGTAGCTGGAACTACAGGCAAACACCATCATATTCAGCTGATTTTTTAATTATTTGTAGAGACGAAGTCTTGTCACTATGTTGCCTAGGCTGGTCTCAAACTCTTGGGTTCAAGCGATCCTCCCACCTTGGCCTCCCAAAGTGCTGATATTATAAGCATGAGCCACTGTGCCTGGCCAACATATTCTTTCTTAGACAGTGGACCTGATACTACTTGAGCAGACAAGAAGCCACTGAAAGACAAAAGCTGCTTCAAACTCCAGGGACCCAACTTCCCCTACATCTTCCTCCCAGACTGACTCCATAATGGCTCAAGGTTGGGGGTGGGGTGGTACCTGACCGTCACTGGAATTGTTTTGTGGACAATAGCTATTATAAAACCTAAGAATGGTATTTGAGATCATTTTCAGACTTTGTACTCTAAGGACGGAAGTCCTACCCAGGCCCAGAGCACCAGAAAGTCCTCTACCAGTTGCAGGACTCCAGGAAGACAGTCTCAACACTTCCCAGTGACATCATCAACCAGACAATAGCCCCTACCCCTCTGAGCAAGTTCCCTTAATAATCTTCTCCTCTGAATCTTCAGGGAGGTAGATTTGGGAGACTTCTCCTGCTCTCCTTGCTTAGTTGCTTTGTGAAGTTAAATTATTTCTCCACTGTAATGGCTGTATCAGTTTTGGTCTTTCTGGGCAGCGAGCATAAGAACCCAATTCGACTGTAACAAAAAGAACAGTGAGGACCTAGTTAATGACTTCCAAAACAGGAAAACTGTGAAGCAGGTATCTTTTGGAGAAAAGGAAAAGTCTGCCTTTAGACATGTCAAGTGTCACACACACACACATATACCAGAAGCAGCCCAGAAGCACACAATTACTAGATGTGCCCAATTAGATAAGAGAAAGAACACACCGTGCAGAAAATCACAGAGCACCATGTCAAAGAAAAATGAGGAAAGAAGCATCAAACAAAAAAGGGGGTCAGATAGACAAAGACTGAAGAAAAATGTGGGATTTGACTGAAATAAAGTCTCAGTGTTTGGAAAACTCCAAAGTAATAAACTGAAGTTTTCTACATTAGAGAGACTACACACATTGCTTAAGAAATTGGAAAGTTACAGACATTTAATTATAAGTTTTCTCAAAAGAATTCTGGTGAGAAAAGAATCTGTGTTGTAATGATCATATTGGGACAAATACCTGATATGAAATAGCCACAGCTCATCACAGCAGCAAGCAGCATCAAACAGAAACTGTATTTGCAAACCAGAGGTCACAGAACAAAACGGTGCCTTTCTCTCACACATTATCTTTGAACATGACAGGAAAAAACTAGTTTCTAAGGTTTGTAAGAGGTTGTATTCATTATTTTATTAGATAACCTCTAGAATTTAAAAGTCTATAATTTTTTTCTGAATTCTCCCAGAAAAATCAATATTGTGTGTGTGTGTGTGTGTGTGTGTGTGTGTGTGTGTATCCCTAAATATGTGCAAATATACTATCTAAATCAGGGTCTAACCTCAAGCCTTACTTTCAGTAAAAACAAGAAACATTTATTTAACTCTTTTTGCAGTTTTAAATCAATACGCTTTATTTATTAATTTCTTGTAATAACACATATTCCATGCAACAGGAACAGGTGAAATAGAGCATGCTAAGACTGAGAAGTTTTACTTTGAATCACTGTCTGTTTCTTTAGGGAAGTGATAATAAATTCTTTTTGCGGGAAGAGTAGAAAACAGGAATAAAAGCAGAGGACAACCGGGTTTGGTGGCTCAGCCTATAATCCCACGCCTTTGGGAGGCTGAGGTGAGTGGATTGCCTGAGCCCGCGGGTTCGAGACCCGCCTGGGCAGTGAGACCTCATCTCTACAGTAAATCAAAAAATCAGTCGGGCGTGGTAGCGCATGCCTGTAATTCCGGCTACTCAGAAGGCTGAGGCGGAAGGATCGCCGGAGCCCAGCAGGTCGAGGTTGCGGTGGCCGGGGGCGACCACTGCACTCTAGTCTGGGCAACCGAGTGAGACTCCAACTCAAAAAAAAAAAAGCAGAGGGCTGAGAATTAAAGCCAAATAGCTCCCCTGAATCACGTGGCTGAGAATGACTTCATTGAGAATCTGACATCTAGCAATCTCTTACAAATAGTACATATTTCCAGAGTTTTGCGATTTACAAACATGTATCATTTACTTAATTTCATAATTATCATGCCATGGGAAAACTGAAGAACTTATAACTTAAATCAGTGAAGTATAGAATTATAGAAAGATACAATATAGCCCTGAGGTTGAAAGCTTTGACTGCTTAGAAGAAATAACAGCTGGGCCATGTACCAGACACATCACCTGGGGCAAACAATTTAATTGTTCTGTGCTCAGTGTCCTCATCTGTAAAGTGGATTAAAATGATAGTACCCCTCTATGACCATTTTAAAACATGGTCTTAAATTATCTTCCTCACTGAGAGTTGAGGCCTATATCTCCTCCCCTTAAATATACACTTTGCCTGACCAATAGAATACATCTTTGGAAATGACGCTGTGTCAGTTTCCAGCCCCAGGCAATAAGAAACTGACAGCCTCCACTTCCTGCTTCTCCAAGCATTTGCTCTTGGCACCCAGCTGCCATGTTGTGAAGATGCCTAAGGCTCCCTGTGGAGAGGAACCCACAGCAGGCATCAACTTGCCAAGCAGTAAATGTGCTACTGAGAAGTAGATCCTATAGTCCCACGTGATGTTGCAAGGAGCCAAGGTGAGCTGTCTCTGATGAACCCTGCCCAAATTGTAAAAATAAGTGACTTGTTTTAAACCACTAAGCTTTGGGAGGATTTGTTATATAGCAACAGTAGCTGGAAGACTACCTCGTGGAGTCACTGTGAAGATTAGTTTTATTAATATATTTATTCTAAGTGTCTTCAAGTGTCCAAGAAAACGCAAGTGCTATAAAAAATGTTTTAGTCATTGTCACTACAGACCTGCACAATTCAAAGGCAGGCACTAGCCATGTGTAGCAATTTGAATTTAAGCTAGTGAACTTAAAGTTAAAATTCAGTTCCTCAGTTGCATTAGCCACATCACATGTGTCCAATAGCTACATGTGGATAACTGCTCCATGCTGGGCTGGCCAGATAAAGAACATTCATCATCCCAGAAAGTTCTATAGGTTCTAAAGTTCTTTATGCACTATAAAGTTCTATAAGTTCTAAAGTTCTTTATGCACTATAAGTAAAAATGATGACTGGAGAATAAAGGGTGATCTACTTTAACATTTCAATGAAGAATAACTTTTAGATAACAAAGTATTCATAAATAATGTCTAAAATATATGTTACTTCAGTAGGTTTAGGTTTCCTTCAATTCATACTAATAATTTGCTCAGAAGTACTGTTTCCCTCTTTCTCCTGCACCCTTAGCCAAATCATGTCTGAATTATGAACAAATTATTTATTCTGAGTCCAAATAAATAGCAAAGGTTGTCACAGCATTATTTATAAAAGTCAAAAAACAGCAACATGTGCATGTTTGCAAGAAAATATCTAAGTCAATCATTGTGCATCATTTGATGGAATAATATGCACCACTTAAACTATTTGAGAAGATCTGGGAAAACACTTATGATTCAACATTGGGCTTTAAAGGCTGCATTCAAAATCTTACATGCAATATGATCTAACCAGTAAAAAAAAAAAAAAGAAAGAAAGAAAGAAAATTATGCATGGTTTAAAATACATAGAGCAAAGACCAAAGCATTAAGTGCTTCCGGGTGGTAGATTAATGGGATAATTTTTAATTTT